AGCACAGACTGCCAAGACTAAGCAGGGGTGAGGGGAGGACATGAGCCTCAGGGACAATCTGAGGTCAGAACCAGCAAACTTGAGGAGAGGAGAGGTGAGATAACAGAAACCCAAGAAAAATGTGTAATCTCACTATTGGCTGGATCAGAGTACAAGCAAATGAAGTTTGTTAGGTGAAAAATCAAGCAAGCCTTATAGGTCCTCCTGTAACCACTTCATAGGGGGAGAGCACAAGAGAGGTTTCAGGTGTGGGCTGTGCTGCCATTGTTAGAGTTAAACGTAAAGAGTACACTCGTCTGAAAATTTGGACAGTTTTCATTTTAGCACACCTCTTACTCATTACACCTTGACAGAATCCTGGAGCCCGTGTGGACAATGGTTACTTGTTGGTATATCAGTCATTTGGGGCATTTTCTTTAGTTTAGGCTTTCATCTTAATAACTGATATTTTCTTCAGTTGAAATGCCTCCAATAAGTCATTACGGTTTTTTCTTCTTTTTTTTATACTATGTGAAAATCACAACTCACCCTGAAGACACAATCACTATTGGCAGCGGTGTTAACTCTTGAACCTCTAGCAAGGTGGCTATCTGAAATAGAAAGAGCTATAAGTAACAAAATATATATAATGAAATATTTAAAATGTAATAGTATATTAGAACAAGGTGTGCCTTGATTGTTTTTAATACATGAGGCATTGTCAGACAATATCATACAAAATTACCAACAGGGTTAACTATCAGTCAAGTCAAAATGAAAATGCTGGCACAGATGGAAGATTGGTCCCCTATTGGAGGTTTGAACAAATAAGTAAATACATATGGATAATGGAAGCCCCATTTCTCAGTATCAGAGAAGGGAGTAATTAATAGAGAAAGGGAAAAAATCAAAATAAATGAAACGTGGTGCTGGATTGGAATTAGAGGTGTTAACTCATGGTTTCCAATAGATTATATATAGATATAGAGATATAGATATAGATAGATATAAATATAGATAAATATAAATATGGATTCAAGTATGTGCATATATAATGTGTATTTGTAAGGTACACACACATATTCTCTCTAGCCCTTTCCACACATATAGAATCTGGAAATAGTGACACCACAATAAAAATAAAGACACCTAGCCCCAGATCTGGGTTTCTTATATCATTTGTCATTAAAAAGGGCCCAAGGTCCTTGGAGAAATGACACATTCCAGAGCTGGGACTGGAGCGTATAAGATAGTGTCTATAATAACTTATACTAGAAAAAAAAGAAGTACTCAAAGAATAATGGAACATATCAAAAGGATATAGGAATCAACTTGAACTGATTGGTCTCAGAGGCCAAATTAGGGGCAATAGAAACAATGATAGAAACAGAATGCTACCCACTGAATAACATAGAAATGTATGAGTAATGGGAGGGAGGGAGGAAGAAAACGAAGGAGGAAGGGAGTGATTGGTGGAAGGTAGGAAGAGAAGGAAAGTAGCTTGGTTGGATCACAAATGGGCTATTGAGAAGAGAACTTTTATAGTGGAGAAGCCTGGATGACATCACCTTAACAAGTGATCGAAGTGAACATCCCCAGGAAGGGGACACACTGACACCCTGTACCACCTGATGAGGCACTGTCACAACAGGCATCGTTTCTGTGGTGTTCCTGCCAAAGATGAATAACCTGTGTTAGTCATGAGGAAACACCAGACAAATTCAAACTGAGGAACACTCTACAAAACAATTGACCTATAGTCTTCAAAGGTGTCAAGGTCATGAAAGTCAAGGAAAAAGTGAGGAACTGTTATAGACTGAAGGAAACAAAAGAGACGACAACCAAAAGCAATTCGTGATTCTGAACTGGGTCGCCTTCCCATAAAATATATTATTAGAAAGCTTGACTCTGCTCTGAGTAATGTTTAGTAATAACATGTCAAGGTTAAACTCCTAATGTTGATGGTTGTATTGTGGTTTTAGGGACAAATGGCTGTGTAGGAAATATCGAACACACCAGAGTGATAGAGCATCAAAATGGCAAATTATTCTCAAATGGCTCAGTAAATAAAAGGTCTTTGTAGTATTTCTATCATTTCTGTTTATGATTGTTTTGTCTGTGTAGTGTATGACTCTACATAAAATATATGAACTTTTTTCCATCTTGATAAAATGTAACAATTCCCTTGATAAACATATTCATGATCTTGTATAGAAGATTTTTTGTGTTATACCAGCATAATCTCATCATTTTTATTAACTGCTGCCTTTAACCAAAGCAACCAAGGTTTTTCTTCAGAACAGAAAGCCTGAAGCACAAAATCAAGAATTATAACACTGTTTTTGTCCACGAGTAACATTATATATCTCTTTCTATAAAGAAATTACCTTTTATAATTTAATTTAGTTGAACACAGGACTTTACAATTTGATAATCTCAAACAAAGTGATGTTAATCTAACCAGCAAAATCAATAGAGAGAATTTAGGAAATTCAAACTAAAAAGGCTTTTCATGAAAAAATATATCCAAGACTGGCATAAAAGGAAGAAATGAAGTTATTTTTAAATAATTTTATTAAATCAGTTTAACTTTATCATTTCCATTAATAGTAAAAGATCTGTTTTCTATACTCTTCTTTTATCGTATATTAAAACCTTCAAGCCGAAACCGGTTTGGCTCAGTGGATAGAGCGTCGGCCTGCGGACTGAAAGGTCCCAGGTTCGATTCCGGTCAAGGGCATGTACCTGGGTTGCGGGCACATCCCCAGTAGGAGATGTGCAGGAGGCAGCTGATCGATGTTTCTCTCCCATCGATGTTTCTAACTCTCTCTCTCTCTCTCTTCCTCTCTGTAAAAAATCAATAAAATATATTTAAAAAAAAAAAAAAAACCTTCAAGGTGTTTAAAAGCAAATTTTTCCATTTGATTATCTAACCAAGTTATAAGACTGTTAATGAAACTCATAGTTGAGACTTTTTTCCTGCATTACAACTGTAGCAAGAAAAATTTCTTCTATAGTCAGCATATTTAAATCATATTTAAAATTTTTAGTGAAAAGGGCTGCTCACTTTCATTCATAAAGCATGGGGGACTATGTTCTTGAATAAAAGAAAAGAAAGGAAATGAACGAATGCTCCTTGGATGGAGTAGATGAATCACAGAATTAAGTAGCCAGTTGGTTTAATTTTAGCTCTCAGGCTCCCCGCTTCTAGTAAGTATTGCAACCATTCCACCTCTGGTCAAAAATAATAAGTACATTGTATTGTGCTTGTGACTATATATCTAAAATTAATAAAGGGAAAAACAAATAGCAAGGTCATTCCTAGGATTTTTTTTCTTATGGTTTATATGCAATTGATCTACTTTGCTACTGTTTGCAAATGGTGCAATTCAGACCTTCAGCATCTGAATTGTGAGGAGTGCTATGTACAAATGCAGATTCCTAGGTCATGTTTAGACACACACACACACACACCACCACCACCACCACCACCACCACCACCACCACCACCACCAGAATCAAAATATCTGGGGATGGAGAGAGATAAATTGCTTTTTAAATAAAGCTTTCTCCGGGGGATTTTAATGTACACTAACCTAGTTGATAACTACCTCTAGGCCTCCCCACAGCTCAGAGATTTGCCATCTTGTCTCTTACAAGGTCCTAATTATCTTCTCTAGCCCTCAGATTCCTAACATCACTCCTATCTTCCTATCTTCTCTCCTTCTCTCCCCACTCCCCCCAACTAGGTTATGAAGGAGGAACCTTACATACTCTTGGGTTCCACCCAGTGTAGGCAGGCTCCAGACAGCACCTGAGTCCCCAGAAGAACATGTAGAAAGGGGCTGCTCATTTGATTTGACCTAAGACTCGCCCATGACTACATTCACACTCAGGAAATGTTAGTTCTGAGTCGTCTGGGACCCTGGGAGATGCTAGAGATAAAATATTTTCTACCTCTAGGAGAGGCCAGAACAGCATACAGAGTGGATGCTAAGAAAAAATGCCATACAGGGAAAGGAGAGCAAGGACCTGCAAGGGCAGCCACTTTGCCTTTTTCATCTTCTCACTCTCCCATACCAGCAGCCAATGAATGTTCTTGAATGAGTAAAGGTCAATATGTGAATGAGTGAATGAGCTTAATGCTTTTTGGTGACCAAAATCAACAGCAGCAACAACAAATAATATTCTCATCCCTGAGATTATTGCCCACTTAAAAAGACACAGGGGTGCTTTATATTTGTCATCAAGCAGAATGTCATCTATAACTTTTAGAAATGTCTAAAAGGAAATCTGCTGGAAACAGATTCAATAGGTTTTAAAACTCTAGAGGGTAAATAAAGTATGGAATTCCCTGGAGATGCTTTGCCAAGCTATAAGAAGACAGTGCTAGGAAACAGCTCTGGAGCTGTGTGGGTCCAATTCAGGGCCTCACAAACATTCAAAAAAAAAAATATAGTGAAACCAAGAAAAGCCAAGGTCAGAAAGCTGCCCTGAGCAGATACAATACTGCCCACCAGCTAAGTTCTGGGTTACTCTTCCCAACCTCAAGGAATCTGAGCTCTTCCCAAGTTCTAATTTGACCAGACATTTCCTCCATTACATTGTGATGAAGGGGGGATGAAAGAAAAATGGATTCTTTGAAAAGAATGGAAAATAACATTTTATGAGAAAATTATCTGAACTATAGACCAAAAAAATGCCACTAGGACATCATAGCTTCCTCAAGGATATCATTTGACCACTGAACCTATCCACAAATATTTCTGAAACTCAGGAACATGCAGCACATTCTTTATAAGAGGGTATTAGCGTGAATCCCTCAACTGGGGACACTGTCCTTGTGGTTGGCTGAGTCTGTGATGGCTCCCAATGATCTTCATATCCTGCTATTCACATCCCGTGTAATCCCCTTGAGTGTGGAATGGCCAGTAGAATACAGCAAAAGTGATGGGATGTCACCTATACGATTATGTTATAATCTCTGTCTTGCTAACAGACTGTTCTTATTGCTTTCTCAGCTTGCATACTTTGATGAAATAAGTGGCCACAAGGCAAAGAACTAAGGGCAGTCTCCAATCAAAAAACTATGAAGGACCTGAAACCCTCAGTCAAACGGTTCTTCAGGAACTGAATTCTGCCAACAATTTGAATGAGCTTAGAAGTGGACCCTTCCCCAGTTGAGCTTTCAGATGAGACCACAATTGCAGCCTTCTAAGGAACCCTAAAACAGAGGGTATCAGCTAAGCTGTTGCCAGACTCATGATGCAAAGAAACTGTGGGTTAATAAATATGTGTCATTTTAAGCCACTAAATGTGTGATAATTTGTTACACAGCGATAGATAAATAATGTAATCCTAATCCAAACTGATATCAAGGAGAGAATGTCTGGTTTTCACAATTCTGAACAATTACTCTTGCTGCCCTTGCTGGAGTCTGTGAAATGAGACACACTGTTTCAAGCTGCCAGTATCCAGGATGTATATGGCAACCTCTACAGCCCCAGGAGGCTACTGAGAGATACCTGATGGGGAAGTCAAGCCCATGAGTATATACTTACTATTTCTTAAAATAGTAACTGGTATTGGCTTGTGTTCTAAAGAACCTTTTGCATCTCAGAGAAGAGGATGATAAATTGAGTGCCACATCTGCATTTCCCGTCAAAGGCTTTCGTTATAAGTAATCCCACGTGCTGCAACCATCAGCTGTATGCAAGGAGGCTGCCATATGAAGAAGCCTTCATTTGCTTGAAGCCAGGATTCATTACATACACACACACACACACACACACACACACACACACCGGCTGCTTTGTGGGAGGATGGATTCATTGAACTCACTTTTCAATTGCGCCAGCTTCTCTTTTAATGTAGTGATGAATGGATTCAATTAGATGGAAACCATATTTGTGGTTGGCATGTCAAACGTGTTATTTCTTCCCACAGAGTTCATAATGTGCCATAACTAAAGGCATTGTGTTTCTTTGCTGCCTCTCCAGGTTACACCTGCAAGCAGCTCTCTGAGCAGAAGACTGAATGTGACGCTGGAATAAAGAAGAAGAGAAATTTCCTGAGACTCTTGCCGAGGGACAACAGGCTCTTCCTTCTCCTATTACTTAAACCTTAGGCCTCCTGTTTCTAAGCCGCCCTGTCTATGGTATTCGTTTATAGCAACCCAAACGGACCAAGACAACTCACCTCCAATCTACAGATCAATCCCAATTTTCTACAATTTCTCACGGGTTATTGACAACAGCTTCCTATACTTCTAGCTCTTTAATCCCTGGATATAATTCACCAGGGCCAGCTTCTCACTATTTCCTTACCTCTAGTAAGTTGCAATTCTCTTTTCACACACTCTTTGTTCTACCCTTTCCAGTGTGAAGACCATACCCTTGACAGAGAGAGAGAGAGAGAGAGAGAGAGAGAGAGAGAGAGAGAGAGAGAGAGAGAAAGCAGAGATTGAAATCATCTGCCTTCTTTGTCAACAGCCCAGGAGCCAAGCTGTGGACATATCACTCTCTCCTTCTTTTGTGCAAACCAGGATCCCTTCTGCCCAAGCTTCCTGTCTCCATCCTCCTCCCAAGTGTAGTCCCGTGTCCTCTACCCATTGTCCAGGGCTTCCTCCCTGATCCCATTTCACTGATAACTGCTATTGACTTAGCTTAGCCTCTAGTCTCATGCCTGCCTTGTTCTAGCAACTTAATGTGATTATCAAGCTCTTCCTCCTTTATGGAGTCAGAGATCTCTTCCTTTCTTCCCAGCACCCAGGTGTAAATTTCTTCTGAGTCTGTTCCCTGTTCTGAAAAACTTCCTGCTGGGCCCATCAGAGCTGCTCACAGCTGGCCTGTGACTTGCCCCATGAAGCTGTCTTTCTCCTGTCACTATGACAGCTTCCCTGAGGCAAAGCCGCCTCCACACCTGGTAGACAGTATGTGCTGAGAAACCCACAGTTCCCCTCTTCACTCCAGAATTCTCATCCATTTTCTCCACAGACAGTGAAGCACTTCGACCATAAGGTCCTCAGTGCCTTTCCCTCGCTTTTTAAGTCACCTCTACTTTGTCATTTGTGATTTTTCTTCAAGCTCCCTGTTTCTAATTTTGCTGTTCACACCCCCAAAGCCATGAGGGCTCCAGCCAAGCCTTCCTTCCTTTCCTGGGAACCCCACACTCCACTCACCAGGACCAGGCCCTAGCCATGGGCATCGCCCATGGTATTTAAAAGAAAAAGAAAATTCAGGTGTGGTTTGTCTCCTGATGGGATATTGACATATTAGTGATGCCGTTAACGGGGGCCCTCAGCTTCCTTTGGGGATGAGGTCCTGATGACAGCTCACAGCGTCAGGCAAGGTGAGTGAGCAGCAAGACCCATGTTTCCTACCGGCTGGATTTCACTGCAGACTGAGAAACCTACAGAGCTGACAACCTCCTCATTCCCAGGTAGCCTTTACCTGCAACTGAAACCTAAGGATTAGCTAACTCAGAAGTTAGAAATGATTTTTTTTAACACAGGAGAAAAATCTTGTTCAGAGTAGCTTCACCATACCCACCACCCAACTGCCAAACACACACACACACACACACACACACACACACACACACACACCACAAAACAAAACACATGAGTTCCCATTGGGCAGATTCTTGCATTGTGATTTGGGCTTTACCAGTCTAACCTATTACTTCTGCTAGACTCAGAGATAGGCTTGTCTGACCTGGAAGCACCTTCCTAGTTCACAGGAGAAACATAATGGAACTGTTACCCATTGAGGTTACCACCTGAGACCTTGGTTCTTCTTGTCGGCGCAAGAAAGATTTTATGGTCAAGGAAAATGAAAGTAAAGCAAAGTGGGATTTATTGAAGATACACTCCAAGCGAGGAGTGGGCCAGTTGAGAGAGACAATGGCCCAACTTCCTGGATATATGGTTTCAACAAAAAGACGTTACCAGGGAGAGGAGGAGAGAGGAGGAGATCTCAGTTCTTGCCTTCTTGAGGGAAAGATTTCAATCAAGAGAAAAATGTAGAAAAGCAAACAAGAATTTATTGACCACTGGAAACATATTTAGGGCAGTGAAACAAGAAAGGGCATAGAAGAAGCCACAGGAGAGCCTAGGCTGGGCTGCTTTAGCTCACTGGGAAGTCAGGGGAAAGAGGGCCTTGGAGACAGGGTCAGGGGGTTAGCCTGGGATAAGCTACCACTGCCCATCGCCCCCCTGGTTGCAAGTCTCATGGGCATGGGGTCCTTTAGGTTAGGGGATATGTGCAGGGAGGGGGAGGACAGGGGAGGGTATTCTGGGACCTTCATTTTCAGGGGTTTTAAAGGCTGGGCGTTTAGGGTAGGTCTTAGGGGCGGATTGATAGAACATTCATCAGCTTTATGCTGATGTACCAAAATGAGATTTATCCTCTTAATTTGTCTGTCCTTGGGTGTGGTTGGCAAATGGCACTAATTGGATTTCTGTAATCCATCTCCCTGAGCAGGGTGATTTAAACTATTTACCCTCTGGGTGGGGAGAAGTGCAAACTACTTACTCTAAGTGCCCTTGGTTTAGGGAAGACAGGATTTACTAGGTGGACACAAACTGCTATTTAACACTCTGTCTCAGCTTCCCCATTCCACTTACCCTGGAATTTTCCTAGCTTCTTCCTAACAGAACTTTCTGTTCTGAGAACACAATTAGCTAGACATATTTGGCCTTGTAATTTTCTTTAATAAACATTTATGAAGCCACAAAGCGACTGGCACCATGAAGTCTGTGTCTCAGAAGGGCTCAAGGAATAATTTCTGCTTTGTGCCAGGAAAATAATCAAATACCTTGTTTATTATCTCTTTAGTGATGAGAGGAGCAGACACCTGATGGAGAAGCTCTACGTCTGCCATCTCAGCCCATCTTATTCCTGCGGTCACAGGACTCCCCAGCCAGGGCTCCAGCCCCAATATAAACAAGTCACACAGCCTCTCCCCTGTGCGCTGTCATTGGCCTTGGGTGGGGCAAGGGCTGAGCCAGCCCAGGACATAATTTCTTTGTAGCTTAAACCTGAACTAAAAATTAGACCAGAGATAAAGAATGGCACACAGTGGGGGAAATCCTCCTCCCTAATCCTACCCAGAAGTGACAGCACCAGGCAGCACAATGACAACACCAGGTGCACTGCAAACGTTGGCAGCTTTGGCAGCCTCAGAAGACTGACCCCTTGTCACAGACATCAGCACCCCCTGTGGGCGCTCACCGCCACAGCAGGCGTGAGGAGCCAAGGTATTAAGTCTCATGGGCCAAGGGCAGGAGAGAAACTGGTGGGCAGAGATTAGAGGTGGTGCAAGAACTGACAACTCAATGAAGGAACTCCCCTGAGACATGCCCTGGGACACCCAGTAGAGGCTCCACTGAACTCCTCTGGGGAAGGCATGCTAGGTCCCCAACATGAAGTGGAAACTCTGAGCCTAAAGAGATGACTATGGGAGGAAACAGACAGGGACGATAGGGAATGGGATGCAATTATCAGAGGGAAGCTATGCCCCCATAAGGCAAGTGCACTGTAGCAAGCAAGAAAGGTGCAAAGCAGAAGCATGGTTCTCTGTTCCTGCCTCACCTCTGTTGCCCTCCCCTTCACCCAGCTTTGGGCGTTGACTGGAACTCCTGCAGGAAAACAACCGATGAGCTCTCCATCAGAGTCAAGTGCATCATCATCCAGGGGAATGCAGGTGGCACACGGGTTTCTGACAGGCATCAAATGGATCACTGAGCAGAGAGGAGAACTGACCACCGGACAACTCACTCTTCAGCCTAAGACAGTGATGGCGAACCTTTTGAGCTCGGCGTGTCAGCATTTTGAAAAACCCTAACTTAACTCTGGTACCGTGTCACATATAGAAATTTTTTGATATTTGCAGCCATAGTAAAGCAAAGACATATTTTTGATATTTATTTTATATATTTAAATGCCATTTAACAAAGAAAAATCAACCAAAAAAATGAGTTCGCGTGTCACCTCTGACACACGTGTCATAGGTTCGCCATCACTGGCCTAAGAGAACCCTGAGGTTTCCGAGCCCTTCCCTGCCCCCAGCATCCTTGAGAACAGCCAGAGGCCCCTGGTGTATTCATATTCTTTCTGGGGGAAAAAAATTGATAAACCAAGGAAAACAATGCTCACAATCAATCAGAATTTATTCCAGTATATGCTGTGGGGAAAGCCGAGATCTCATCGCAGTCTAAACCACGCCCGCCTGCCAGGAGAGCGCTCAGAGGCGCAGGAAAGCCAGCCCTCCTTGGAAACCGTAGTAATTA